TAATCTGAATTGAGTCAATTGTATTTGTGCGGCCTTATTCGATAATTATCGATTATTCAATGTCACTCAGGGGAACCTTTATTTTCTCAAATTATTAATTAAAAAAATTATAATGATTGGGATTCTAAGCTAAATAAAGAAGTTAACTATACTATTATTCATATTACTATTGCATTATCATAATTTATTCAAGAAAAGAATTGANTCGTTCAACACTAATTATCACATGAAATAACAATAATTACCTTTGGTCGCCTTCGGGTAATTAATTAATCTGAATTGAGTCAATTGTATTTGTTCGGGCCTTATTCGATAATTATCGATTATTGAAAGTCGTTCAAGGAAACCTTTATTTTCTCACTTTATTAATTTCTAAATTTATAATGATCGGGATTCTAAACTAAATAAAGAAGTTAACAATACTATTATTCATNTTCTCAAAACACCTTGTGATTTCGTTCAACACTAATTATCACATGAAATAACAATAATTACCTTTGGTCGCCTTCGGGTAATTAATTAATCTGAATTGAGTCAATTGTATTTGTTCGGGCCTTATTCGATAATTATCGATTGTTCAAAGTCGCTCAGGGGAACCTTTATTTTCTCAAATTATTAATTACTAAAATTACAATGATTGGGATTCTAAACTAAATAAAGAAGTTAACAGTACTATTATTCATTTTACTATTGAATTATCATAATTTATTCAAGAAAAGAATTGAAAATCTTGAATGAATGGAGTGAATTGAACAATTAGAATTTGTGGTGGATTACGTCTAATCCTCCACCACTCTTCACACTCTCACACAACTATATTGTATGATTTCTTTAATAATCTGAAGGGATTCACACATTCTTACAGGAGAAAAATAAGAATATTAATTGAGGTTCTAAGTTTTACAATCATTGCCTATTTGACTCACCACGCGGTGTTCCATCGACGGGTTGATCTGAGGGGCCCGTCACGCCCATTGTCCCATATTGCACGCGACCTATCCCCAAAGTTAATTACCGGCCACCCTCACCGCGTATTATCTCTTGATCACTCCCCTATTTTAATTACTACTCTCTCCAACACTCGAGTCCCCACAGCACGTAATATTTATACGGTACTTACGAAAATTCGGGGAAAACCGAATGTTGGGTACTCGACTCTCCGGGTTAAATATATAAATTTTTCTCAGGATCTCGGCAGGCGTCCGTGACGACCTCCCAGGCAAATTCAACCTTCACGGAAAGGTGAAACTAACACTAAATTTTAACTTAAACTACGGGTGTGAGATTTTTCGTGTCCCCACGTCTGTTGGGAACCAACGCTATACTCAGAGTGATCTAAGATAGCTGTCCTTCGTCTCTCCAGGCTGGTCCTTCTTCTCCAATTTTTCCTGATTCCCTCTTTAGCCAATCATATGCTTCCATCTGGTACGAATTTATATTGGTGAAATCCTTTCCTGTCATTTCACCTGTTAATTGGTCCGGACCTTGACCTTCACGCCGTCAACGGTCTTTCCAGTCATTAATCATGCCGAGTTTCTTCTCCGGGTTTCCTATTGGTTCGTTTCCGTCCTTCACCACTGGTGTCCTTCTGTTACCCTCTCGTGATAACTGGGTCAATCGATAAGGAGGGGATTTTATCGACCTCCTCAGTAAACAACGGACAGCTCCATGGGATTGACATTTGTTGGTGTCTTTGAGATTTTTCCGGGAGTGTGAGTGGTGACAGTTCCTGGTTGTCCGTACCTCTCGGTTTCTTGTCTTGGCAAGGGTCCAACTGGTTTTCCTGGTCCTCTGGCTTCGGCGATGGTGTCGGACGATGTCCTCTGAGCTATCTTCTTTTTGTGGTGGTCTAACATAGATTTCGGGTAATACTGTCTAGTTTAAAAAGGGAGGAAGATGGAGTAATCCCTACCAAGTGACGGTTACTTTTCTTTTCATGCCAGAAATCTCACAAAATACTAATTATCCATTCTTTATAGGAACGAGGTATGTTCCTCGTGATAATGTATATATATATATATATATATATATATATATATATATATATATAT